ACCGCAACAGCATGGGAGACTCGGGGTGAGCAGTGCAGCACTTACCCTGTGAGCTATTCAGCTTGTCACCTTAGAACAGGCTCAGGTTCATTCCTACGCAACAGGACCCTTACTCAGCACCATTCACTCATCTTCCTTGAGTGGGAAAGGAAGAATTGTAAGATGGGCTGCAGCCAAGAACCTCTGTATCTGGCCCTGGGGAAGTGCACCACCCCCAGTCCTAGGGGTCCCTCTGCATTCCTCAGAGGTCCCACATCAACCAGGAAAGAGGCCAGAAGCTTCCACAACAAGCAGGTAGGCTTAAGTGTGATCTGGTTCCACCTGCATCAAAACCCTGGGAGGCTTTAGAAAGTGCAGAGTTCCAGGCCACCCCCACCCACCAGAGTCCCAGGACAGGAAGTCAATGGACAATGTATAGTTCTCGCCCCAAATGCCTGAGGCAGTAATTAGCACAGTCACCCCAAGGTATGCAAGGTGGAGAGAACATCTACAAGTACTTCTAAGACTGCATGGGAAAGGCAGAAATGTTCACCAGTCGCACGCAAAGATACACAGAAGGGAAGCAACCAGGCCAACCAGGAGAAAGAGCCCACCACCTAGGGTACAATGGAATTAGGCAAAAGAGAAGACAAGGCAGAATCACACAGCTTGAATTTTTAGCCTTTATATCTGTTAAAGAAATCTTCAGATTGGAAAGGCTACTGGAAGCCCAAGAGAGGTAAACAGAGAATACCTCACCTCTTCCAAAGAGCACAGGTCCTCAAGTGAGGTCAGATTCACCATGACCCAGTACTAGCAGCACCCACTCATGATCACAGACATACCCTTAGCAGGCTTGAGAAACCATGGAGCTACCAAACACTAACGACCAGCAGACATTCTGGCTTCAAGATGGTGGGAGAAAGGCGGGTTGACAGCTCTTCTGCAAAGCTCAGTGCCGTACGCAAAGTGAATGAGAAATGGGTGAGGAAAGCTTATCGATAACGTACGATCATATGGTTACTTCAGACGCACCGACTTCGTGTCACACAGGGCTGAAGCCCTTTACAAATGATATCTCGCTTCCTCTTCCCACCTCTTCCTACTAAGCCATTTGCACGGCCAAGGTGAACTGAGGACCCACGAGGCTGAGGAAGCCACAAGTGCACATGGCCAGTGCAGGTGAAGTTGAGGCTAAGACCCAAGTAGTTTGTTGCAGAGCTGTGATTTGTGTTCCTGTGCTGGTTTGGTTTTGGTTTTTTGATTCGTAGGTCTGGGGATGGAGCCCAAGAGCTCGTGCACCCTAGGCAAGTGCTCAGACACTGGCCACTAAGAACTGTGTCCTTAAGACTATGTTGCTTCTCAAAACTATGAGTAATGTCCTATGAACACTGTAAAATTTAGATGTAATGCGTGGCAGACACCAAACCTAGTTTTCTCCTCTCCATTCTTGAGGAGGAAGAGAGGGTTTCCCATGGTACGTCTTGGGAGCATAAAGAGTTCAAATGGGAGGGGGTGAAAAGAAGCAGACATTAAAGGCCACTTTTTTCCTAAAACATGACAACCAGATTTTCCTCAGGCCAGTGGTACCTGTCTGGACACCTTGCTCAGCCCCACAGCATGAGGCCACCAGAAGCAGCCCGGGGTACAGGTGCAGCTGAAAACAAAACCAATGGCACAGGATCTCAACTTGAGAAAGTGATGAAACACAAAGGAGAAGCCAAGAAAGATCACAAGAGGGAAGGTGGCGTACATCTAGAGCAAACAAAAACATATCCAATGGGGCCCCGCAGGAGGAAACCAGAAACAAGGAATCAGACCCTGTAGAGGCAGGGGGTCTGTAGGCAGGGAAAGAATTGAATAAGGTTTCGTTAGGTTTTCTGACTAATCCTGACTCAAAGGACATAAAACTCTGCTAAAAATGTTTGCTTAGGAAGAGTTTCAAGGGCAAGAGGGAGAACTGACAGAGCACAGGGAATGCCAAGTGCACACAACCAAGGAGCTGAGGTAGCTGTCCCTCCCACCTCCTGTAGAACGCAGGAGAGACGGGGGCGGGGGTCTGTCCAACTTTGTGGAAGTCCCTTATTCCGTATATACAGATATATCCTCACACCTATGCACAAACACACACACACACACACACACACATATATATATATTCGTTCATTTGAGGGGCACTCTATTACTACAGTAATACCCACAAGAGCCCTTACTAATTCTAAGCTGAACTTAAACAGGGCTCCTCCTAACCAACCAGCTGCTCAACACAGAGATATGGCCCTGTCAAGGTCAAATAAACAGGCAAAAAACAGGTACACAAAGCCCACTAAAAAAATGCACACATAGGCAGGGATGCTCAGTTTAATCCAAAGACAGCCCAGAAAGCCAGTCAGGTTGTGACAAGTTCCAGGTGGGAAAAAGGGTCCAATCACCCAATAAAAGAGGCCAAAGACAAAGGCCTGCAGATTCTCCATCTTTCCAGAGCCCCCTGCCTCCTCTTCAGGGCAGCTTTCTATCTTCTGATCTCTCCTTAGAAATCAAGTGTCTTCCTTTTCTCTTAAACTCCATCCTCTTACCTCCTCACTGGTGCTGCATTTACGATCCCAGTTTGCTGCTCACCCCAGCAGAGCTGCAGTATACACCCCAGACATGACAACCCAAACCCTGAACTGAAAGGTACAGACAGCATCGAGGAGGAAAATGGAAGCGTGACTGTAATCCAAGATGCTCTGGTGAAGGAAAGACCTTGGAAGGCGAAGACAGGTCCACACAACTCACGGGAAAGCACAAGTCTCCCTGAAGGGGCAGAACACAGCTGCCTCGAGTGGATGTTGGGGCATTCGCTTTGGTTTTCACTCATGGCTCCTGGTCTTTGTTATTTCCCACAGCCCTTGCTATTTCCTGAGTGACCAGAGCAATAAGGTTTTTAAAAAGTATTTGACCCTTTGTCCTTGGTTCCTGAAATGGCTTTGAAATATTTGCAGAGCAATAAAGGTGAACGACCATCTTCTGTTGTAATATCGCGTTCTTTTAAGCCACAAATAGCAAACATCTCTCTCTGCCCTCCTCCTGTCCTCCTTTCACCTGCTCCCCTTTCTCTTCAAGCCGGGCACAGGAACTAAAAATAGATTAACCTGAGCCACCTTCCTGCCTTGGAGCTGGCCGTCAAGAAATCCTCCGACCTCCTTGTCTGATCGTGACTCAGAAGACTCCACTTGAAGAGGATCTCACCCCATACCCAGGAGGAAGGAAAGCTCCACAGAAGGGCCAGGAAGAATCTAGACAGACAGCCTTGCTGGGGCCCCGCTGGCCTACCAGCTCTAGATCAGCCCTCTGTCCGGGCACATCTCCACACACTGGCAGTGTTTCATTCATCCTACATGGTTAGGTCACTAGAAACTCAAAGGACAGGGTTCAAGGAGCTTCTGGACAGCTGATCACCAGAAGATGGTGGTGCCCGGAGAGCGCATGGGTCCACCACCCCTCACCCGTTCCTCACTCTGGGCATGGCTTCCTCTGTGTCCCTTGTAATGTCCTTTGCAGTAAACAAGTAAACATCAGTAAATGTCTCCCTGGGCTGCTAGTGATGATTTCATAGGCATATAATTATTTCCAAACTATATATTATATTTATTATATATGTAATATTAATTACAGCATTTTGTATGTCAATTTTTTTTTGTTTTGTTTTTAAAACAAGGTGTGCTATGCGGTCAGGTTGATCTTGAACTCACAGTGATCCTCCTGCCTCTGCCTCCCAAGTGCTAGGATTATAGGTGCGCACCACTCTACCTGGCAACTTTTTGTATATGAATTATACCTCAATGAAGTTGTTTTCAAAACTAAAGTTGGTAAAAATAGAGATCTACAATTTTAGAATGTTAATAATACTTAACATATTTTTTAGTATTCTACAATTGACAAAGCTCTTTCTTTTGTATCATTATACATAATCTATTCGCAGTACCCACTCCTTGTCCCCAGAGGAATTCAACAGAAGCACCATTCAGGACAAAGGACAGCTAAGGCCCCTTCTAATACCAGCAGGCTTAGATTCTGGACTACTTATTACCTTACAATTTGAATTGATAATTTCTAAAAGAAAGAGGATTTTAAATTAAAATGTTGTGCCAGGCCTGGTGGCACATGCCTGTAATCCCAGTACTTGAAAGGCTAAGGCAAGAGGATTCTTATGAATTCAAAACCAGCCTGAGCTACAAAGTGAGTTCAAGGCCAGCCTGAACTGCATCGTGAGACCCTGTCTCAGAAAGACTAAATAAATAAATAAATATATAAATATATAAAAATAAAATGTTAACCCATGGTCAGTAAGAAAGCTGAGTTGGAATATTGAAAGAGACAGTAATTTGATCTTCATGAAGATGAAGCGGGCCCAAGAGCAGTTAAAACAGCAATCATTTTGTGTGCGAACAGGACAGTGTGTCACAAGAGCAGAATCTTTCCCCTGCAGCTTTTGCCAGGAAAGAGCTGAGGAAAGTCACTGAAGGAAAGAAAGGATTTAGCCTTGATTCTGTAATTGAAAAAGAGGTCAGCTCCAAAGAGGTCAAACTAACTATATGGCTCAAGTGGGAAATTTCAAATTTTCCTCCTAACTCCTTTGGCAACCTCTGGATTGCCCTACATTTACCCAAACTGAGGATGAGGCCTTGTCTTGGTTACTTTTCTCTCGTTGCTGGGACAAAATACCTGACACCCAAAATTAAGGAAGGAAAGGTTTATTTCGCTTACAGTTTGTAGAGGTTTCAGTCCATACTTGGCAGGTTGCAAGGCAGAGTGGCACATGGCAGAGGGCTACAGCTCATGGCTGCAGAACACAGCAAAAGCAACAAGCACACAAGGGAGGAATGGCTACAAGCAGCCTCTTCCTCTCCCTTACATATGCAAACTATCCACCCCAGGGCAGGTGTAGCTCTCACACCCGTAATCAATCAAACTCTAAAAGCCTGCCCCATGACCGCATGAGGCTTTGGGGGCACAAACAGACACAAACCATAACAGACCTCCATGGTCCTCCTGGGTACCTGAAAGTCAGGGTGACAATCTCACCAGGTCCTCGCTTTAGGGGCACCGGATGCCTGCTGTTTGGTAATGATCTCCTTCAGGATGTGGCTCTGGTCTGTTTGTGGCTGGGCTGCGTGGGGTGTACCTGTGACGGAAGCCAGCCTACTCAGTGCTTTTAGATAATGTATTTTAGATATGGTGACTGTAATATTTGCCTGCAAATACATCAACATGAAAGGAAACCTTGATTGTTCACAGCACAGCCATGTTGAACTTAAGAGGTAAGAGCTATGCAGTGTGATCAAAATACACAGTGAATATTTAAATAAGTCAACTTTATTACAGTAAAAGACACATTGCCATTAATTCCCATCAAAATATTCCATCTTGCTTCAAACACACTTATCCCATCAGTTTTGATACTTTCTGAAGCAGTTCTGGAAGACCTCTTTCATATATTTACAAGGGGTGATCAAAAATATGATGAAAGCTGAGGGCAATCCAGTGGAAAGGCAGGCTCATAAAAATATTACAGTGTGTCTTCATCCACCTTATTCACCAGATCTGACACTGTGCAGCTTCTGGCTCTTCCCCACAGTCAAAATAGCCATGAAAAGTAAATGTTTTGGACTGATTCTGGACATCAAGGCAGCCACGACAGCACAACTAAAGATATGCAGAGGACTCTAAAGAGTGTACAGGAGGGCACAGAGGATGGAGGATGGGCAGGCACCGCTGTGTCTCTCTTCTCCCAGCTGTCTTCGTAGCAGATAATGTTTCTTTGAAGTGCTAAATAAAATAATGAGCCCATATATTTGCGGAGGATCTCATAGCTGACAATGATTGTCATTTTTTATTTATGCACCAGTGAAAAGTTTCTGTGGCTCTTTAATCAGATTAGCTATAGTATTTGCCGTCTTTCTCTCCAAATTCCATCTGTCTCTCCTTATTAGCCTGGTCTTTAAATGTTTCCCTGGAGAGATTCATTGAGTGCATTTTTCCTCCCCTTCGAGACAGAAGCTATGTGACACAAGACAGCAGGCATGCTACAAGACATAAGAACAACTCATGTGTCTTTTGCCCTAATAGGGTATGAAAAGCTCAGGGGACATAGATAACAACAACCCCAACCTGAGTGAGTGCAACCTGTGACTCGGACGCCAAACAGTGCACATGCTCCTGGTCTGCACTGCTGAGCCTGTCCTGAGACTGAGTACAGACAACTCTTTTCCCCTCTGGGGACCAGGAAGCCCATTAGGTGATAAGATAATGCCTGCCTGGGCCATAAGGGAAAAAAGAACAATGCAAAAGGGAGGAGGGCAAAGTAGACCTGCAATGTGACCAGGGAGGTTTGCTCAAGGAGGGAATGAGGTGAAGGAAGAGAGGGGATGTTACAGAAATGGCTCCCAAATCATCAAGAGGGTCGAGAGAGCGGGAAAAGTCTTACACTGGTTGTGTTAGTCACTTTCCTGTTGCTGGAACAAAATACATAAGAGGTTTGTTTGGGCTCAGCATTTCCAGTGGGCTCAGTCTAGGTTGGCTGGCTCCAAGCACAAGCAGCAGGCGACAGGGGCAGAGGCTAGCTGCTCACCCTCTAACAGCAAGAGGGAAGGAGCGGTGCGGGGATGGAGCGGAAGGGAGGGAGAGAGCATATACCTTCCAGTGACCCACCCCGCCTCCTAAGAGCACATTCAGTCACTGAATTCACCAATGGAGGAATCCACTGCTGCCCTCGAATCACCTTCCAAACACAGGAGACTCTGGGGGTCATTTTAGATCTGCACTGTAACACTGGTGGCCTACTGCTGCCGTAACGAATCACCACGAATGCAGTGGGTTAAAGCAACCCCAGTGATGGCTAGTTCTGGAGGTCAGAGAACACAGGGGGCCCCACTGAGCTGAACACCATTCTCCCTACTGGAGGCTGCAGGGGAGAAGTCGTGTCCTCAACTCTTCCAGCTTCTAAGAGCGGCTTGAATCCCTTTGCCTCGCCCATCTTCAACCCAACAGCTTAGCACCTTCAAATCACTCTATGAATTTAACTCCTGCCTCCCTCTCCCTTACAAGCCCCTGTGGCTATACTGGGTCCACCAAGATAATCCTGGGTAGGCCCTCCATTGTAAGATCCTAATTGAGTCATACCCGCAGGTTCCCTTTTGGAATTCAGTGTGACACATCCTCAGGTACTGGGATGAGGATGTTCACCTCTTCCAGACCTGCCTCCTGCAGTTATCACCAGACAAAGATAGAAGGATGGAAGTTTAAACTGGCCACAGGCACAATGAAGCTAGAGGACTAAAAGGTATTCGTGGGTCTTCAAAATAATAATAAGCAATGCAGTCAGGGAGATCTAGGTTCAAACCTAAGCTTTCCATTTATGAAATGGGCAACTTTGGTAAGTTATTTACAATCTCTGGGCCTCAGTTTCCTCATCTGAAAAATGGAAATAAAAATAATACCCCTCCACTTACCCTTTGGCGATGTAATGAACATAAATATATATGTGTGTGTGTGTTGAAATATAAATTAACACATTAAACATATTATATTTGATATGTAAATCTATACAATTAATATATGGCCTGATACACATCATGAAGGCACAATAAATTGTCCCCAAACCTAAAATTAAGGACACTAAGGCTCACAAAATTAAGTAGCTTGACCATGTCTGTCCAATTCAGTATATACAACACTTCTACTGGCCCACCCTTAGGACCAAGATCAGTATTTGGGCCTAATTTAGGGAAACAGCTATTGATTTAACAGAAAATTGAGCTTCTGCTCTCAGGTTACAGCACTGAATGCCATGGGTACAAAGCCCATGGAACTGTGGATGTGGCTGGAAAGACCAAACCAATACATGAAATGTAAATATATCTGCTAAATGAAGAAGTATAGCATTGATGTGTTAAATGAATGGCACACACAGCATGGGTCATAGGTTGAGTGTAAGTGATATAAGTCATGAATCTTGGCTTATTAAAAAAAAAAGGCTTCTT